GAATACATGAACATAAGTGTTATTACTAATGGTCTAAATTGCCAGCAAGCAAATAAATTAGGGCATGAAATAGGTGAGGCAGCTAACAAAAGTCATTAGACACTTGTGGGGAGAAGAAACAGAAATGTGAACACAAGACTGCATCCCAGCTGTTGTTATACTCCCAGCCCCGTGTACATACACATATACATACATACATATATCCATCCATCCATACCATAACATACACACACACACACGAATAAAGCCTACAAGGACACAAAATGATGCTGATGGTAAGTTCTGCCGAGGAGGCACTATCATTTTACTGCTCATAAAGTAACAGCTGCTCAGTGAAGACCACTGTTTTGTTCTGGTTCTACTGGCTCCATCATACTTATTGAGTATTGTTTATAATACCAGGTATTTGACAAGAAGGCCACAGTGATCTCTACTTCATGATCTTAGTAACTGTTACTATAAAATTTACTCATTTGTTCATTTTCCTCTCCCTTCTCAAAAAGGTGACTCAGGACGCATGCACCTCCGACTGTCTCTGCTCCCAAAGACCCGACTATAAAACAAATGACCATTAGGAATCTCTTCTCAGGTTAGATCAAAGGACAGACCAACTGTACATCAGATCATCAACACACCAACTTGGTCTTCTCTCTGATCAGTAACACCATCAGTCTAGCTTTAGTGAAAGGAATTTTAACAGACCCCGCTGTTTAAGTACCATGACCACTCCATCATCAGAACCAGAGATTTCTTTCTCCATCTGTTCTTGTAATATCTCACTGCTAGTATCCTAAGTCTTCTTAATTTCCCTATAAAACTAATCATGAAGCCAGGTGATGGTAGTGCACGCCTTTAATTCCAGCACTCGGGAAGCAGAGGTAGGCAGATCTTTGTGAGTTTAAGGACAGCCTAGTCTACAGAGATTGTCCCAGAACAGCCAAGCTACACAGAGAAACCCTGTCTCAAAAAACTAAAACTAGGGGCTGGAGAGATGGCTCAGTGGTTAAGAGCACTGCCTGCTCTTCCAAAGGTCCTGAGTTCAATTCCCAGCAACCACATGGTGGCTCACAACCATCTGTAAGGAGATCTGGTGCCCTCTTCTGGCCTGCAGGCAGATTACTGAGAATACTGTATACATAATAAATAAATAAATCTTAAAAAAAAAAAACCTAAAACAAAACAAAAAAAAATAACCATGAAAACCAATTCTCTGCTCAAACAAATGAACCCTCAGTGATACCTGGGTACTATGGAAAGTATTTTATGTACAATTTCTTATTTAAGCATAAGAGACCACATAATTGTACTTTTTTAAAAAAGCAGCACATGAGAGAAAGACATCGTGTGACAGGAGCTCAGGTGGACAGGTTTTTTATTGGGGGGAAAGACCAGTCTTTGGGGACAGAAGTGGCAGAAGAGGAGAGAGGAAGAGAATGAGAGTCAGAGACAGGCACAGAAGCAGAGAGAGAGAGAGGGGGGGGGGAGGGAGAGGAGGTGGGGGAGGCCCACCCTTTAAAAGAGAACATGCACAGGAGGTGCCCTTACTGACTGCAGCTGAGGATGCATCCTGTCAAGACCTGAAGGGCAGGCCAGTGCAGATGCCTGAATACAAACAATAATCACCATCTTCATTTTTGGATGAAATTTAGGAAGAGGAATCATTGTCCATCAAGGGGTGGAACAGGAATTCCACACAGGTGGTTTGTCTTAGTCCATATTTGAGATCACCAGTTACTCTGCTCAATACGATTAAGGCTTTGACTTTCCTCATCCTTAAAGACCATCCTGAACACGCCTGCCTCTGTGATATCCTTATTTCTAGGTGAGACTAATACAGAACAGTTAAGAACTTTGGGCTCATAGCCAGGTATGCTGGCACATACCTATAACCTAGTACCTAAGGAGTTCAAGTCATCTTCAGATAAATGTAAAGTTCAAAGCCAGATCAAGTCTCAGACATCCCCCTCCCCAAAGTAGCTCCACTCTAGCGCCGTGCCTACCTGCCTGCCTGTATGTTCCCCACCATGAGGACAACGGATCCTCTGAAACTATATGCAAGACCCTAGTCAAATGCTTCTTTCATAGGTGCCTTGGCCATGGTGTTATCCCCACACAGCAATGGAACAGTAAAACAGGTGCCTACCCTGAAAAACTGGGATGATTAAATAAGATTACGAACAAAACATCAGACAACCTAAACAATATGTACATTGCCCCTTGCATTTTCTGCCTTTCTTCTCTTTCCTATCCCCGGGGGTGAGAATTTCACACAGCCCACAGCAATTCCTCTTCTGGATGCCTAGGATAATTTACTCCCTTGGTATAGAATTACAAATTAGCCTACAGTTTAATAGAAATATCATCATTTATAATGCCATGTAGGAGCTGTTATAAGCACAAGAATTTTCTCCTTTGAATCCTCAAACTCAGAGATTCGCTTGCCTCTGTCTCCCAAGAGCTGGGATTAAAGGCCTGTGTCACCAGGCCTGGTTACATTAGCATCTTTAAGTCCCTTTGAAAAAAAACCTATTGAACCCTGAATTTGACCAAGTTTAGTGAGTAGTTCATGTCTGTAGTTAAAGGTCATCCTCAGTACAGAGTAAGTTAAAGTCCAACCTGGGCTACTTCAGACCATTAAAAAAATAAAAATCTCTGGGCGGTGGTGGCCCACCACCCAGCACTCAGGAGGCAGGTGGATCTCTATGAATTCGAGGCCAGCCTCATCTATAAGGGTTCCAGGACTGGCTCCATAGCTACTGAAAAACTCTGTCTCAAAAAACCAAATAAAAATAAAAAATCATTAATATAAAAGACATTTTTACAAAAAAAAACAAATACTGGGAAAAGTATACATTTCCTAAAATAAGAAAACAATGTGATATGAAAGAGGAATAAAATGATCCCAAAGTGTTATTTTTAACCATAAAATTGGCAAAATTTAAAAAGGAATAATTTCCCTAACTCTCAACAAGACTGAGCTTTGTAAACCAAGTTACTAATGATGAGAACAGAAATTCTCCCTAGGAGGTAACCATTAAGCTGTAAGTCAGGGCCATTGCCCAAGGTACAAAAGGCCCAGGCATCAATCCCCTGCACCTCTCTCCATGCAAAGAAAATACAGAAGGGAAAAATAAATAAATAAAAATAAATATGAAAACATGAGAATACTCACAGAAGAATAATTTATGAGCAGCAATTTAAAGACCATCAACAGACTTGAATAAACACTATGCTCACTAACAGTAATGTACATCTGTTAGAGAAAGTTGCTAGTATCGTTGGGGGGAAATGTATATATAAAACAGCTTACATAATATAGTAATGCACATATGTAAAATTTAAAATTTCATGCTAGCCTACACATTAATAAGGAGGATATTCAGCAAAATGTCCACATGATTATCTCTCACAGACACACTTCTGGGATGATTAGATGGACAAGACCACATACATCTTTAGTACCCTTTTATTTTTCCAGTGGTCACCTGACAACTTTATGCCAGATCTCAGTAGAACTGTTTTCACAACCATCATTCTTTCAGAGACAGGGTTTCTCTGTAGCTTGGAACCTGCCCTGGAACTTGCTCTGCAGACCAGGCTGGTCTTGAACTCACAGACAATCCGCCTGCCTCTGCCTTCCAAGCACTGGGATTAAAGGCGTGCACCACTACCATCCAGCACAATCATCACTCTTAGAAATACCTTTCACGTGGGTCATTTTTTAAAATGTATGACATATACGACACTGTGACGAACACATTCACTCACTAATAAAACGCTAGGTCATGGAATGTGCAGCCATACCTGTACATTCACAGTTGTAAAGAGCGTAGTTCATGTGTCACAAGGTAGGGGAACAAATTCTTCCACTGAAATAATTTATATAATGATTTTTATCTTTTCTGGTGAACAGAAGCTTAACTTCAAACTGTAAAAATGTCTGTAACCCACTTGAGAGGCTGAGACGAGAACACCCTGAGCTTACTGTCCACCTGGAATACAATGTGAAGTAGGCCCCATCTTAATGACAACAACAACCCCCCCCCAAAAAAAAAACCCAAATTAACAGAAGATATTAAAAGCAACAAGCAACTCTCTAGTGGTAACTTTCTTTCATGGGTTACAGAGCGAGAAAAAGATGAACGAGAAAGAAACCTAATGAACTGAGTGTAACAGGAAGCCAGCGGCCTTCCCTAGCTTAAGCTGGAGTTTGGTTCCTGCACAGGGTACAGGAAAGATAAGGATGCTGACTTCATCACCTCGTGATGGGCAATGTCGCACAGTAATAAACCACGAGTCATTTTCCAAGATGAATGGCATCCTCAAAACACAGGCTGTAGATGATAACAGAGGAAAGAGAAACGCATCCTCTTTACACCCAAGTCCTCTATTACATGATTCAAAGAGCACGCTGAACATGAGCATCAGCACAGACATTCCCTGGCTCCACAGAAACAACAAAGGCTGAGTGAGAAGCAGGACATTGTGTCCCTTGGAGATTAGTGGGAGAACACCCCACAGGTTCAGAGAAGGAAGAAGCTGTGAAGGATCTTCTGACAGTTCTCCACCTCTCACCAGACAGCTATGGGTAATGGACACACCACACAAAGTCATTCTTTAGCCACTAGCTTTCCCGTGTTCTGGGATTGTAAGATTTGTTTAAAAGTTTAAAAAAGCCCACATGGCTATAGGGATGCAAATAAAAACTAACTTTTAAATATTACCATTGCTGACATTCCTCAAAACCCTAGGGTTTTCCCCCCTTATGAAACAATGAACTGAGCAAAAACTCCTCTATATGAAATTATAAAATCTCACTGCTAATAAAGCCAGGATCATCAAACGCAGTGCACTCCTGGGGAAGCCTCTCCAAGTGAAATTCACACACAATGATACCAGTGTTATTTTACTTAAGGACAAGGCATCAACTTCAAGACTTGTAAGAATGCCTTCTACGGGGCTGGCCTCTGAGAGACCGGGTGACATCTTGAGTCCATTACCTTTAGGAGGGAAGTATGACTTGCTCTCTGCTTTATGAGGCCAGTCTACCACGAGAGGTCCGAATCTGCGAAAGCTGGCAGTGATCTCATCTATAAAACAAAGAAAGGACTTAGCAAAGTTGTGGGAAAAAAAAACCTCTACAATCATAAGAAACATAAAACATATCTTTTATGTAAAAAATGTTTTGAGGGATCCTCTTTTGCATTTATTTTCTTTTTAGAGCTTTTCTAAAGTATCTCTACAGCAGTAAACCCTGCAAAGGGAGATACCACTGCTAGCTCAATTGTTTTATCTCTTTTTTGACTTCTGACTGGAAGGAGAAGATTGTGACTTTGTAACTCCTTGGGTGGAGGCGGTCATTCCATCAGCAACTGTAAGAAATTTATCCTAAAGAAAAATCTAATTGACTGAAAGCATTAATACAGACATGAGGACAGTTAGAGGAAAAAGAGGCTGTGGCCATCTGCAACTTTAATGTTGTAAGTCTAAAGCTATTTTTAGCACCCATACGCACACACATCATGAAAAGGCTAAAGAAACCATGACTTATTTAGATTAGTATTAGAGCTGCACCGAGCAAGCCGGTGCTAGGAAGATTTCCATGGCACTCCCAAAGTCTAGGAGAACTAGAGAAGTTTTTTAAGTTAGCTTTGTCACCGTTTAATTTACACATTCAGTGTATGTCTGAACACAATGCAGAGAAGTCAGCTCTTGCAAAGTTCTTAATGAGCGCATACAGTACCTTCATCGATGTCAGGAGGAAGGCCTCCAACAAACACCTTCCTAGAGTAGCGTTCCACTCGCTCCCCATTTTGACATCGAGTGGGAGAACTTAAGCCAGAGGATAAAGCCTGATCGCCATGGCTGTCATCCAAGAAGGCGTCTTCAAAGGGAAAGAGAGAAGACCGACCTGAAACAAAGCAGCAGTTTCTACAATCAGAACGGCTTTCCTAGAGAACAGGGCCCTATCGGAAGACCATTGTACCAAGTGAAGCAAACGAAGCACAATGTACCTTGAGGTACGGCTTTTCCCAAAGAATACTTATCTGACGATCACTAAGTACAGCCATGCTTACACACAACACTGAAATGGCTGAAATAATATCTAAGGCGGAAGCACAAGCTGTGTGTTTTCCTTGATAATCATTCTCATATGGGCCCCACTGCAGCAACTAAATATATGTCCTCGGAAGGAAAAAGTGTTTACACGGGGCCTCAACCCTAGCTGAGGAGCTAGCTGTCAGCAGTCGGTGGCTACAAGGGGAGGGAGAATATGTCCCTGGTAGGTCAGTGGACCCACACCCATATAAATATGGGCAGCACTCGGTGGACTCTACTAGGGGGGAGGGCGGGAGAGATAAGATCAAAATACATTTTATAATATAAGAAATTCTCAAAGAATAAAAATATGTTAATAAAAGAATATACTGCTGGGCAGTGGTGGATCACGTCTTTAATCCAAGCACTCAGGAGGCAGGGGCAGGCGGATCTCTGTGAGTTCAAGAACAACCTGATCTACACAGTGAGTTCCAGGACAGCTGGTCTTTTTCACAGAGAAACCTGTCTCAGGACAAAAAAAAATATTTATAAGTATATCTTTGAAATGGGCTGGAGAGATGGCTCAGTGGTTAAAAGCACTGCCTGCTCTTCCAAAGGTCCTGAGTTCAATTCCCAGCAACTACATGGTGGCTCACAACCATCTGTAATGAGATCTGGTGCCCTTTTGAGGAAGAAACCTGCTCAGTCATCCTCATCAACTTAGACTATGAAACCCAATATGGACAAGTTCATATGCAAGGCCGCAAGGCTGCCCATGCATAAAAAAAAATTTGAAATACATAGGACAAGCAGTGTGTGTGTGTGTGTGTGTGTGTGTGTGTGTGTGTGTGTGTGTATTTCCCCAGATCTTTATCTGCTCTTGATGGTGACTTCAGGCATACAGTTGTAAAGGCTGGCCCTGATGACAGAAGCTAATGATGCCTCTTTTAATGGTAGGGCCAATGACACTTTTCCTAGCATGCAAGCATACTCCAATTTGAAAACAAGCCCATGCAACAATATTAGGCAGAATATGTAAATGAATACTAAATCAAGACATGATAGTATAGCATGGGTATGACTATGATTATTACAATTACTCCAGGCTACATTTTAAATAATTCAACAAAACAAAACAAAACGCAGAACACGGTAGTACATGGATTAAACCCAGAGCTTGGGAAGTCAGAAGCAGGAGGATCTCTGTGAGTTCAAGGCCAGCCTGGTCTACACAGCAAGTTCCATGCCAACCAGGGCTAGTGTTGCTGTCTCTCAGAAAAACAAACACAAAATCCCCATGGATTGATTGATTGATTGATTGATTGATTGATTGATTTTTGAGACAAGGTCTTTCTATGTAGTCCTGGCTATCCTGGAACTCAATATGTGATGTGGGAGTGTCATATATCAATCTGTTGATTTCATTGGTTAAGTTATAATAAACCAACTGCTTGGCCTCAGCTTAGAACATTGATGGGAGGAGTAAACAGAATAGAATTCTGGGCAGAAGAGGAAGTGAGGTCAGACTCTGCTCTGCTTCCTGGGAGAGAGCCGACAGCTCGGGAGCAGAGACGCCATGCTCAGCTCTCCTGGGTAGACGCAACGATGGATGGAGGCTAGAATCTTCCCGGTAAGCGCACCTTGGGGTGCTTACAAACATCATTAGAAATGGGCTAGTCCAGATGCGAGAATTAGCCTGTAAGGGTTAGAGTTCATGGGCCAGGCAGTTCTTAAATGAATACAGTTTGTGTGTTGTTATTTCGGGCATGAGCTAGCCAAGCAGCCAGGGTGTTGGGGACGCAGCCCCGCCGCTTCATATTTCAACAAATATGTAGACCAGGCTGACCTCAAACTCACAGAGATCTGACTGTTCCTGCCTCCCAAATGCTGGGATTAGAGGTATGAGCCACCATGACTGGCAATTACTTTCAATATGGAATTTCAAAATAAAGCCCAAATTAAAAACCATTTTTTTTCTTGTTTGAGTCTGTGAGTTCCTAGTAAAACTTTTCACTAGGTTTTACTGTCTTGAGCGCTCAAGCTTTAGAGAAGGGTGGGAAGGAGGAACAGGGAAGCGAGAGAAGATAAGAAAAAGGAGGAGGAAAGAGGAGGGGGAAGAGGAGAAAGAGCAGAAGAAAGGGAGGGATGGAGGCAGAAGAAACAGCAGCAGGAAGAACAAAGGAAGAAAGTAGAAAGGTCCATCTCTAAGATAAACCCACCCCCTTTAGGAAACAAGCACACAATGGCACTCTCTCATCTAGTCAATCCTCTTTCTTTCCCTGAAACCCAGGTTTTGTACAACAGTAGCCAACATTCAAAAACAGAACATAAATAGCCTTAGAAAAATGGTGACTATTTCTTTTACTATAAAGTAAAAATGTTGTTAATATAATCGTGTTAAATTATGAGCCACTCAATGGTGTTGCTAATATAACTGTGTTAAATTATGAGCAACTCAATGGTGTTGCTAATATAACTGTGTTAAATTATGAGCAACTCAATGGTGTAGGAAAGGTACTGTTCAGAAGCTCGGAGTTAATAAATAAAAGGGCTAAGAGTGGGGATAGTGAGACACCAAAGAGTTTTTCCTTCAGTCCTTCCCAGAGTAGCTACAAAGACAGACAGTTTGTGTCACTGTGCCACCTACCCTTCTTCAGCCTGCAGGGACAAACAACAGGCAGCACATTCTCGTCCCTTGATCTTTGTTTTTTTTTTTTTTTTTTTTTTTTTTTTTTTTTTTTTTTTTTTTTGATGTGTTTTTTTTGTATCACTGGGAGTATTTTAGTGAGTATTTTTGCATCTATATGCAAAAAAAAATGGGCTTCCCACAGACATTTTCTGACAGCAGCCAGGTAAACCTGCCATGCAGTCCACACTCTAAACCTTATCTGCTCAGAGTCAGGCTCGTGTTCAAGTCAGCCATTCCTACAGAACGTCTGTCTATTCCCACCTCTGAATCTCAACACTACAACTATGAAGTGTGCAAAGACAAAAGGAGAAGAGGCAGAAATGGAAAGCTCTGCCTTACCCTCCGAGAAAGATGGTCTGCAATAGAGAAGCAGACCAGCTTTATCCAGAGCTAAGAAAGCAGAAGCTCAGTGGAAACTACTCGAGGGAAAATGCATCCCTTTTCCAAGAGCAGCAAAGTCCTTCCTGATAAAGGAATCCCAGTCTAATGAGGGAGCAGGCAAGCACACAGGTAACTACAAAATAGTAGGAACTGAAAGAAGCCAAGTGACACAGTGTGTCCTCCTGTGGCGTGCAAGAAGGCAGTTTTCAGAAGAATTTTTGTGGAGTGGGAGTTTGAGTGAAAAAAACAAAGACCCATATAGAAAAGAACCTTCACATAAGCTCCTGATCTTCCATTTAAATCTGGTCCTTTCCAGCATTCCTTAAAATGTCAATACAAAGGCCATTTGGGAGATGGCTCAATGGGTCAAGGGCCTGTCATAAAAATATGGGAACCAGAGGTCAGAGCCTCAGCATCTATCCAGATGCCTGGTGGGCCCAGTGGTCCACCTGTAGTCCTAGCATGTAGGAGGCAGACGCAGGATCCTGGAGCAAATTGGCCAGCTGGACTGGCACAATTGGGAAGCTCTGGGCTCAAGTGAGAGATCCTGCCTATATGCGTAAAATTCAAGGAGGAGAATAATCAAGAAAGTCCCTTAACATCAACCTCTGGCTTCCATGAACTTGCACACATGTACACACACTTCCACAAACTATTGGTTCACACACTACACATTACCTACAAGCAAAAAACAAAGACTTTTAAACATACCCAATTCAACCCAGAAATTTAGTATTTAGCCTTGATATTCATTCTCTCTCTCCAAGCCTTCCTCTCTTTCCCCATATCAAATCTATTTCTCACTAACAGTTCAAGCTTCAAAATACAACTTTACTTTAATTCCTGTCCATCACCAGTTCTAAGGCCCTAATCCAAATCACCACCTCTTGCCTTGTCTTGAATAGCTGCAGAAAACCTTTCCCCACTAATGTCTACCTAGAATTCAACAATGCTTTCCAGAAGGAGGGAGAGAGGGAGGGCCTGTAGCGATTTTCCAACACTAATCTGAACAAGTCACCACACCCTACACTCCTGACTTCAAAAACTCCCAATGACCTTCCACTGCCCTTTGGGTAAAGTACAAAAATATCACTGTGAAGGACAAAGTCCCTGACACAGCTGCTGCCGTTCCTTGCTCAGTGACCTCTCTAATCACACAGAGTTCCTTTGGGTTTCTTGATTGTCACCACCTTGTCACAGGTGCTAAGGACACAGTGTTCCTGCTAAGATCTAAGCATTTCTTTCTCCAATTATAGTTAAGTCTTTAAAAAAGGTTTTACCTAACCTTTATTATTAGTATTAGTGTTTTACCTAAATGTGTATCATACACATGTACCCTGGCACCCACAGAGGCAAGAATATTGTACCAGAGCTCTTGGAACTACAGTTATAGATGGTTGTGAGCCACCATGTGGGTGCTGGGACCTCTGCATGAGCAGCCAGGACTTTTTAGCTGCTGAACCACCTCTCCCACCCCATAGTTAACTGGTAATTCTTTCGGTCTCAGCTGCAAAGCCATCCTCTTCTGTGGAACTGTACTGACCTTTTAGATTGGGTATACCTCCTGTCTATGCAAAACGCCCTGTGCTTCTCCCTCCACCCTCCCAGTTAGAACCACAGCATTTCTCTGGCTTTATTGAGTATGCGTTTCCCCACCCATTGGGAAAGGAATCAGATTAATCTTCATTATTGTATCTCCTCCCATAGAATATATTAGAGGGACCAAAACCATGCTAGATGTAATACACCACTGAAGGAGACAAAACTGTGTGCAAAGCCATCCGCGGTGGTTCATTCTAGTA